CCCCCTCTTCCTCGAGCCCCACTCTTTAAACACCCTTTAAAAGTGCTGAAATCCCTTGCAGTGGGATGCGTTTCCGCCTGTATCTACATTGGTGCAGATGGGGAACCTAATGCGTATGTGCGTCAAGTTGGCTTGTTAGGCTTTCCCCATTGGAAAGCTTTGAATCAATGCTTTCATATAGGGGGAGAGGAGGTTTGAAGAAATTGTATGTTCACATGCACAGTGTGAGGACATCCAGTGCTATATCATGGAGTTAAACAGCAGGAAGCGCCTCTAGTGGCTGTCTGGTAGAAAGCCACTAGAGGCTATCTTAAACCTGCCATAATAACATTGAAGCTTCTCTGATACTGCAATGTTTTAGATTGAAGGGTTAAGAGGACATGGACAGTACACCCAGACCACTTCCATGAGATTAAGTGGTCTGGGTGCCTATGGTGTCTCTCTAATACAGAGACTTCTTACCTTTCAGGAGAACCTCTAATTATGTTAATTTGCGCCCATGACAAATATTATCTACAACTACAAAATGAGGATATAGGGGCTGAGTGAAAAAAGGGTTTGGAAGTGGAGGTGTGTCAGAGGTTGTGATATGTACAGGTATTAAAAACCACACCATTTTATGCATACACTAATCTTAGTGTCTAATCGTTACTGTTACATGTAACATGTTACATTCTGCCTTTCATTTTTGATTGCAGTCAATAATCAGTGTATGTTCTGAAATAATTCATATGAAGTGGTAGTCTTTGACCTCGGCTTACTTTATCTTTGATCTTCATATGGTAATGCTAATATGAGTCAATAAAGACATTTGTTTTGGAAGTTAATACTGTTCAAGTCTTAAAGTGTTGCAAGCAGTATGGGCTTATTTATATATTCAAGGATATAATTAATATGTATTTGAACAGGTGAATTGGGGTTGTTTGCTTTCTTTTGGGTTAATAGCATAAAGAAATGGGTTTTAACAGTTGAACTTGTTGGACTTTTTTTTCTATCAGGCTTGTAACTATGTAATATATTTCTACACAGATGTCTATCGTGGTGCTGCCCAACCTTGTGCTAACTCTAGTCCAAACCCTAACCCTACTTTAAAAAAATAAATAAAAAAGGTAATTTAAATTTAAGAAATCATATAATATAAAATGTAAAAAATAATGTCATTTAAAACATAGGGAACGCAGAAGTGTGCATTAAAAAAAAAAAAAAGAAGCCATTTTGGGATTCTGTAGACATTTATAAATTGCTCCAACCTTCAGTTTCAAAACTTATTCTGATGTCTATAAAACCACTAAGTGGCAAATAATATAATATAAAAATACCTATATAGATTTATTATGTACCTGAATCATGATTGGAAGCAACACAATTGCAGTATTGTCTGTACTCAGATGAGTGTCATTTTTGTGTTTGGACTTTAAACATTGCTAGTAAGATTAATATTTTATTGTCATAATATAAACTCCAACTTTCCATCTTAGACACAGCTTAACAGATCATTTGATTATGGCATATGGGATGTGCGGATCCACATATGAAATATATTATGCTATCTTTCAGCATTATTCACTAAAGTTGACTGACAAATAACGTCAAAGTCGGTGCATTTGTTTCTCATGAAAAGTCAGAACTTGATCATTCAAACATGTAATTTATCAACAATCGTCCTTGAGTGTATAGAGACATAATTTATTTGCTGATCTTTGTGGGAGAAACAGTATGGAAATCTAACAAAATGTTATTGTCCCTGTCTGATCGTTATACCCCATTTATTGAACATCTTCCACCTCTGGTTTCCAGCTTTAAGAAGAGCAGTATTTATAAAGTACTTTGTTATTTTTGCAATTGTATTTATATGAACCTATGTAATCCTATCAAGTATGCACTTGAGCAGAGCACTGTTTAATGGTCCGTTTGGTGCAACAAGTGTAAAATTACAAAGGTTGATGAGCACCATCTAACCAGATTGCTGTCAGCTCACATCCATTTGACCTTTAGCTTTTCAGGAATTCTTTGTGGAGACAGTTAAAAGTATGATTTAAGTTTGAATACTTTACATTTGTGCAATTCAAAAGGACTAAAAGGACTCTTCCAAACTTAGGGATTTATAGGAGTCAGAAGTGACAGTCTTCCACAGATCAAAGAATGACAGGATAGTAATTTTGAAATTAGAGAAGCTTAGCTGAAAAGCCATTGACTATTTAACAGATCAAGTCTACCTAAAGTACCTGGCGGTTTTTTCACATGGGCACATACTAGTTCTTCTTCAGGGGTTGCGAAAATTATTAACCTTTACACTTTATCTCATCACCAAGTGATTCCTCTAAGGACTTTGTTATGCCAAAGGCTGCTCTCAAGGTGGTCTTTAAAACAAAGATACATTTGCTATGACTTTGCATCTTACGTCTCAGCAGACGAGTTAGATTAAGAAGAAATGAATGTGAATTGGAATGACAAAAATGTGCCTATAAGAGAATGCTACCATTCAAAAGAGATAGTTTATTAAACTGTGTATCTCTTTTGACAATGATTATTTATACGGCAGCAAATATGTGTTTGTAATTAATTTAAGGATTCACAAGACTCTAGAGAAAATGTTGTAACAGTATTTTAGAATACAGTTCATAAAAGTATTTATTACTGAATAGCATACTCACAACAATTAGTGAAAATTCACACTGGCACAATTACTTTATGCTACAAGATCATTTGGAAAAAAAGAAAAAGTTATTTTGCATGACATGACTATAGTGAGTCTCATTTTTAAATGGCAGCTATGATGTCACCATATAGTTATATTGATCAAAAGAAATACAAATAGAACCATATTAAAAATAACATTATTTACTTGTGGAAATATTAATTTGGACTGGTTCGTCCGGATCAAATTCTTTTTAATCCACACTCGAACAAATCGATCCATATGGGATTTACCTGTGGGTTTTATTCAATTAATAAGACTCCAGAGGTAATTCCCAGATGGGCCAATTCGTTCAAGTGTGGATTCAAAGGAAATTGATCTCGATGAACCAAGTCCAAAGAAAAAAAAATTATATAGCACCAACATATTCCGCAATGATAACGATTATAGAAAGTGAATATTAGAGGTAAAGAAGTCCCTGCTCAAACAAGTTTAGGTGTCCTGCCCAAGGACATGTCCTAGTAAGGGGATTTGACCAGGAGTAAAAACTAGATTTTCCAGTTTGAAACAGATTATTAACCACAGTGAAGTGATATACACATTATGTGCTGGATTTACTATATTATTAGCCTCTGGCTCACTCATTAAGGATCAGGAAAATTCTCTTACATAAGGTAGGTTAACCCCACAATGCATTAATGCCATGATCCTCCATACCATAGCACGACCAGATAATGCCCATACTAACTTTCCAAAGTAACATAAAAAAAGTCTCTCTTTACATTCATCTGAAAATTAATTTCTACCACTCTCTGTTCCCCTCTGTTTCAGAGTTCAGTGTATGGAATCAGGACAAGTACTGTGTACAACATACGTAAAGGATTCAGATAATGATCACTTCTAAATATCCATGCATGTTGCATCTTGAAATAAGGTTTTTTTACGTGGAGGCTCCTCTGAATACTTCATGCTCAGTGGCAATTGTCTCATTCATGTACACAGATCATGCGTGTGGCCTTCCTCTTTGTCTGAAAATGTCACTGACATCCAAGCATAGGTGATTGTGAATGCAAAGAAATATGAGATGTCTAAGGGAATGTATAATTTGCTGCATCATGCAATTAAGTGTTTTTATGTTTTCTTTTGTGCATAGAGCTTTAAACTTCTGAGTAAAATATAATAATAATGTTGAAATAATACACATTTTAAGCTATAAGAGTTAGCGGGACGCTCCAAGAATCTAATGTACATTGATGTACCTGAGCATCATACATAATGCTCCAGTATGTTGTATGGTGAAACAGCTAGAAGGAAAAAGTTATATTTACCGACATTTCCCATAACCAGCTGCAGTTTTCTCATTTCATTTTAATCAGGCAAAAGTACAACAAAGAAGTGCATATACTCAATGAGATGTTGGATGCTTCTCGCATATTTAATTAATCAATTAATCAATGAACAAGATGCACTGTGCATTCTTAGTCACTGTTTTCCAGCAAAGGATAGTAAGAGATAAGCTGTTTATATTTTATATTTAAATTGGTTACTGCTCCATAGAAAATCTGAGAAACAGCCACACCATTAGTAATTTTTTTTTTATTCGTTATTTTTGTTGTGCAAATAGTAACATACACGCTTGTTGCGCCACAACAGCAGGACAAGCAAAAAAAACACAGTATAAGGTTATAACATGGCATATAGAGCAATTGCACAAATGTTATAGTTATGGTGTTCTAGCTGGCAAGCCGAGTACCGTAAATTAGGTGTATAACATGCCTAATAGACACGTCAGAGAATATGTCATGCGTTGGTATACAAACATGCTTATAAGATCATGGCAGCAAGAGTGAGTAGGGAAAAAAAGGAAAAAGAAGGCGTTAAAGTAACCTGACACGAAGAAAATTATGAAAATGCTGCATTTCTCCTTCCCTTTTTAAAAATAAAAATAAAATAAACAATACAGGCTACACAATCATGTTTAAAGAGTAGGATATGAATATGACATAGTAGAATAATGTAAAAGCTAATAGGTAGCCCACCTTCACTACACGGTAAGTAAATGCAATATATGATTTGAGGAATGGGCTTTGACTAGTACAAGAGAACGGTAGCTTATTTAGTAAAACACGAGTTATAGGAAACTCCACTGAGGCACCCCTCAACAACACATTTAGGAGACACCGTTGAGCACTCGGCTGGGAAGCACAACATTAGAGTTCACTTCAGCCTACACCTGCACGGGAGGCAGTGATGTAGGGAGTATGGAGCTGACAACTGACATCCCAGACCCATCTCCGCTTCCGAATTGGCAGGAGCTGCTCCTGATACAAGCCAAGGTAAGTCCCCTGTGCCCTGCGCCGCTTCAGCTTGCCAGCTCGATCTTTCCAAGCGGTGAGTATGCGGCTGGGAAAAGGTCGCCTTCCAGTGAGCTGTGATATGGACCGCTGCTTAGGGGATTTCTTGCTTGAATGTGGGTGTTGTTTGTGTTGGCGTGTTGAAGCCGGCTAGGGAGGGGGGCACTGAACCGGAGCTCTGTCTGGAGGTTGCGCCATAGATACTGGCTTTGTAGGTGGCCTGCGCCGCTCCTCCCAGCCTCTCCAATATTGTTGGTACATGGTGTTGAATCTTTCCTGGAAATCAGCTTCCCAGTTGCTAGGTTGCAGGTGAGCTTGTGCAGCATTACGGCCGTCCATTTTAGGGGGGCCACATGTAGGCCACCCTCACTGATGTCGCCCAGGAGCTCCGCAGAGGTAAGTACTCGCTCGGTGGGGGCCGGGATATTCCCCGCCGGCCCAGAGGGGGAGTGTACGAGGCTCGAACTCTCCACAGGCCGCTTCTCATGCCAGGGCAGCCCCAGGCTACAAAAGGGAGGAGTCTGCAGCTGCTGGTTTGCGAGAATGGTGGGTTTGTAATCCACTCCAAAGCCAGTGATACAGGATGAGGTTATTTGTGCAGGGATTATCCATATTGGGGTATTTGCCCCTTTTAAAACACTTGTATATCGATTTCAGGCAGGAGCTCAATCTGCCTGTGACCTTCCAGGATGGCGTCCAAGCCCCGCCCCCCTCCACACCATTAGTTATTTACTTGATGGTCCTGCTAGGCATACAATTTTAGACATGTAAACAAGTGTAGCCAGATAGATCATGTATACAAGAGTTCAAATTAAGCCTTTTAGTGCCACTATTCAATAAGATAAAATAATAATAATAATAATAATAATAATAATAATAATTATAACAACAACTAAGAAAAAACAAGACATGTGTGGGGTTTATTTGATACCAGCATTTAATACAAGTGAGATGAGCAACTATCTTACTCTCACTTGTTTCATTATGGGTGATGAATTTAAAAAATATATTTGGGAAAATGACATGCCCTCTTCTACCCTGTTTGTGGGGAAATCTGGAATAATACCCAGGTAGGGACCCAGGGAATGGCTACTTTCTTGTCCTCCATCCCTTACTGGTTGTGAGGAAGGTTACCCTCTGGCCATTTTAACATGAAGAAAAAAACAACTCTTACCTAGTGTAGGATTAGGAGATATGCATCTTATCTGGTCCTGCCCCGTGTCTTTATGTGGTTTGCTACCCATCTATAATGCTTTAAAATGCATTTATTATATTTTACTTATTTCTGGGTTTGACTCTGCTTGCATTAACTTCCCTGACTTCTGTTTTGTATAGACCTTGGCATGTTCTTTCATTTTTTATCCCTTCTGTTTCCTTTGAACTTGGGTTGTCCTCAATTATTCTTCACCTGCTCATACGTTTCACATTTCTATAAGAAAGGCATTAAGTCCAGTCATCCTATGGACCAGTAATACACCATTATGCTTTGAATCTCTTACTAACTCTGAGATAGATATGTGGTCCTAAGCCCTGTGTGTTGGGTTACATCACATCCAGACAGATAGCCAGTCGCCTGGTCTTAAGTAAAAAGCCTGTAGGTTGCTAGTTGTCCCCAAGGTCTTTGCAACTTGAATCTCAAAAAGCTCAACTCTCCCTTGAAATTAAACACTTATCCTTCTTCCCCATATAAGTATGATATTAAGGAGTATTAAGAAGGAGCAGCAGATAACAAATTTAAAAAGTGCAATCTGTAAACAGAATGCAGTTTATGTTTAGGTAAAAAAAAGTCTTGAAAGAAAGTCTTCATAAATAAAACATTCTCTACAAATTTCAAAATAATGAGTTGCAAGTATAAAATAAAAAAATAACTGCTACTGCATTGTGTGTGTGTGTTTTTTTTTTTTTACACATTTTTAGACTAGTCTTGTGGGAATGAGACATACCTGTGGAGGCAATGTGATGGTTTAGCTTGGACTGGTGATAAAAGTAATAAGAATTTTTGGGGTTTGCAGATTTACACATATTAGTCTTTTCATAGTCGGAAATCATAGTCGCTGGGATCTGGCAGTTCTGTGATAATAAAAACAATGTTTCTATATGTTTTTCAGAAAAAAAGAAGTTGTTCAAAACATGCATTTATAGTTTCTAAACCAACATTGACTGAAGATGTACTAACAGAATTCTGGTCTATTTTTTTACTCTAGGAATCTGAGCGATGAACAAAGCGTTATTTATTAGTGGAACAAAAGATCCTTCTTTGGAAAAAAAGTCAGCTGCATAGTCACTGCTTATAGAGAGATATATGTAGCCAGAAAAGGGACTTGAAATTGTTTACTGGTATTAATTGCATTGTCCATAGGGCAAAGCACTCCTCTGTCTGTAACCAAACTATAGATAGATTTCTAAATAGCACACATTACTGTTAAACATAAAGAATAAATCCCTTTTTATGTAGAGTAAATTAGCGCTAGAAATCATGAAATGTTTACTTTTCAGGAAACTCAACCAATTTAGAGATGAGATAATACTGTTTGACAGATGTTTTTGTCTTTCTGTTAACTTTATGTAGTTTTCAGAGCCTTCATTTTAAATTTTAAGAATACTTTTCACTTTAAAAATATGAATACAATTAAGTTTATAATTAATTTATTTCATATACTTAACTATGTAGAAATGGGACCACTCCAGCAAATGTGAACTTTATTAAATCTTGCTATTTTCACTTTTCATTCCATTTTTTTCTCCTTACTATCACATACTATTAACCCCTTAATGACCAATTATGTACAGCGTACTTTGTGGTTAGTATACAGGTGATACTCGAAAAATTAGAATATCGTGCAAAAGTTCATTTATTTCAGTAATGCAACGTAAAAGGCGAAACTAATATATGAGATAGACGCATTACATGCAAAGCAAGATAGTTCAAGCCGTGATTTGTCATAAGTGCGATGATTATGGCTTACAGCTCATGAAAACCCCAAATCCACAATCTCAGTAAATTAGATATTGTGAAAAGGTGCAATATTCTAGGCTCACAGTGTCCCACTCTAATCAGCTAAGTAAGCCATAACACCTGCAAAGGGTTTCTGATCCTTTAACCCTTTAAGGACTGGCCTGTTTTTGCGATGTTGTACGTTAAGGACCAGAGCAGTTTTGACACTTTTGTGGTGTCTGTGTTTAGCTGTAATTTTCTGACCCGACATGGCCGCTAAATCAGATAAACAAGTGAAATTTTCTCAAAAAACTCCTACTTTTCTTGGTTATCTTTTGGCATGTGATCTTTGTGCTAAGTGCAAATATTTTCTGATATTCTACAGGGTCTCAGCTACTTACCTCAGCCCCTACTTTACTATAAGGTGAAGTGTTGTTCTACAATTGAATAATGGGTCTACTCCTGTGATAGTTGTTTATTTTCTGAATTTTAGTTCTATATTATCTAATTTGTCATAATGGTTGTGATGATATACACCTTGTGACAAACTGCCCTGCAACCCAGTTATTTCTCTAAGCCCAAGCTATTTTCCCTTGGATTCGGTAGTCCTATTTTCCAAATGCAGACCACCCCCTGGCTCATTATCTTCAAAGTAACCACAAAGTCATGTGCTCTCTGGAGACTTATTTGACAGAGTGATTTTTAGACCATTCACAACTCTATGTACAAATCATGGAATTTCAAGCAAAGAATACCTTACTTACTTTAAATTAAAATACTTTTTTTTAAAATAGGGAAATTAAGAGCAGTAATTAGCTGGATAATCTCTATGACCTAGATAATTGCACCAATTTGTCTTATAAGATTAGAGAATTATTGTATGTGAACAAAACGGGTACAAAACTTTGTGGGATTAAGAAATGGGAAAGGGAGCAGAGCACCGAATTTGTATCCAGTGATTGGGTTACCGCTTTAAATCTGACAAAAAAACTGAGCACTCTGGAAATTATGTATGTGAACCCCTTGACTAATGACATCTCCAAGAGCTAATTGGAGTGAGATGTCAGCCAACTGGAGTCCAATCAATGAGATGAGATTGGATGTGTTGGTTACAGCTGCCCTGCCCTATAAAAAACACACACCAGTTCTGGGTTTGCTTTTCACAAGAAGCATTGCCTGATGTGAATGATGCCTCGCACAAAAGAGCTCTCAGAAGACCTACGATTAAGAATTGTTGACTTGCATAAAGCTGGAAAGGGTTATAAAAGTAATTCCAAAAGCCTTGCTGTTCATCAGTCGACGGTAAGACAAATTGTCTATAAATGGAGAAAGTTCAGCATTGCTGCTACTCTCCCTAGGAGTGGCCGTCCTGTAAAGATGACTGCAAGAGCATAGCGCAGACTGCTCAGTGAGGTGAAGAAGTATCCTAGAGTGTCAGCTAAAGACTTACAAAAGTCACTGGCAAATGCTAACATCCCTGTTAGCGAATCTACAATATGTAAAACACTAAACAAGAATGGATTTCATGGGAGGATACCACAGAGGAAGCTACTGCTGTCCAAACAAAACATTGCTGCACGTTTACAGTTTGCACAAGAGCATCACAACACTATGTGTGGTTGAAAAAAGGCACAGCACACCAACAGGGCCAGATTAAGAGCCCAGTTGGCCTGGTGCTGACAATTATGACGGGCCTAATTACAGAATCATATCGACGGAAACAGTAAAACACTCCCAAGCATCATGTATCTGATGGAGATGGTGCTGGAGAGAAAGAAAACAGCAGCTATAAGAAAACACATAACCTAGGCTAATCTCTCACTAATTTATGTGTTCATCTTTAAAGTAAATCCATAACCCCTAACAGCAGTGTCCAGTCAAGCAGGAAGTCAATGGGCATGGTAAAAGGGTGTGCCACTGACACAAATCACGTAACCTGCCAAAAGGGGCGAACATGCCCAAAAAGAGGACATGTCTGCTCAAACTATTAGGCCAGCCTGGCATGAATGCATGTCAGGCTGCCTGCCAATCATGCAGCTGGCCAACTAAGGGCATACTATGCAGACAGCACCCTGAGTTTGGCATAAATGCATCTAATGATGTGCTCACTCAACGCTTTCTAAGGACTGTCCCCTAGCACTCGCTGGTCCACTTGTCTCCTTACCAGAAGCTCCTGGTATATGGTCTGGGGCAGAAAAAAGCTGTATGTAGTGAGTGTAGAAGAACGGGAACATGCCACAGTGTTAGAGAGACCAAAGGCAGCATTACCTTAAAGGATCACTATAGGGTTAGGAACACAAACATGAATTCATGACCCTATAGTGTTAACACCACCATCTAGCCCCACTGGGCCCCTCATGCCTCCATAAATATAGCAAAATCCTACTATATTCAAGCCTGAAGCTGTAACTGCATGCTGTTAGACTCATAAAAACAAGCAGTCTGCTGACATCATCATAGGCGTGCGCACGGGGTGTGCCGGGTGTGCCTGGGCACACCCTAATCCCGCGCACGCCTATGTGTATTGAGACCGGCAGGGGAGATCTCAGGATCTCCCCTGTCGGCTCATGCAGAGCCGGCGCTATCCGAGCGCCGGCTTTGCTCTCAGCCTCCCTCCCCACTGACCCACATGCAGGGAGGGAGGCAGGAGAGGACCCGGCGGAGCTATTGCCGGCAG